AGAAATAATTCCTTGAAATATATTTATGAAAAATGTACTTACAGATCTAAGTCTTTTTATTGTATCTTCCAATACTATTATATTATTTTGCTGGCAAATAAGTTCAACCTGTAAACAAGCCAAGAAAAATGAAAACTTCTGTAATTTAGAGTAAAACAATTTAATCAAATCTTTAAGTAAAAACAGCATCAAAATAAAAGGAATCCATTTAATAAAAATCATGAAGACTATGAGCTATTTTAAGAATGAAATGAACAAACCTAACCCTTTATGCTTACCTTACCTTTGATGGTAAAGGAACCTAGGATGAAATATAGCAGTTTCTTTCAATTCTCCAATGTTTGGGGTAAAATATTAATTGATTGTATTTTATAGAATTACTTCCTATGAACTGGGACAAAACATTAATACCAATTATAATTCTGTACATGCTAATAAGGAAAAGATAAAGGAATGACTGGAGTAAAAGTAGCCTTTCCAAATCACCCAAGTCAAAGTAATACTTTCTCCTCTTTCAGTAGTTTAGTTCAATCTACAAAATATTTTTTGTATCAATTTTTGACATTTAACATACCCCTCATCTAGTATAACTACCTCTAGTCATATATTTAAGGAGCTCTGGTAGCACAGTGGTTACAAGTTGGGCTGCTAACCTCAAGGTCAGCAGTTTGAAACTATGAGCAGGAAACTACCTTTGGAAAAATATGAGGCTTTTTGCTCCCATAAAGATTGATAGCCTTGGAAACCCTATGCAGGGTCACTATTAGTCGGAACCAACTCCATGGCACATAACCAACCAACCAGTCATATATTTAGTATATAATTAGACTGTAAATTCCTAGAGAAGAATGACTAAGTTTCTATACAAATCTATAAAGCTCCTTATTAAGAGCTGGCAGATTAGTTTGTAAAGAATGTTAATTTTTCAAATCCAAAAGCCTTTCCCATGTTGATTTTTCCTGATCTTACTCGCTATCCTTTAGATTTGAATACTGAGATCACTGATTTTTCATGACTACGGTTATCTTCTAATATTTTTCTGACAGTCATATTTAAGTTTATGAAAGTTATTGTTTGGATAAGTCTTTGTATGTCATTGTCATTAAGTTCCATCAAGTCAGTTCTGACTCATAGCAACCAGGTGTAGGGTTTCCAAGGAGCGGCTGGTGGGTTTGAACTGCCAACCTTGTGATTCGCAGGCCAATGATGCTCCTACAGTACTATATCAGGAGTCCAAGTGTTTGTATAGTTTTAGGGAAATCTTTTCAGTATTTGAATCGATACTACTATGCAGCCCCTAAAAAGAAATGGGTGTACTTTTGAATGATAGTGAGAAGTTTCTGTACTAAATTAAGTGGAAAAAGATCACATAATAAAACAAAATATCTAGCATTTCATTTTCATAAAAATGAATTGATACACACATATACAAATATACATGAACATCCTAGATAACACATCCTAGCTAGAACATACCCAATGAAATGTTAAAAAGGGAAAATACAT